GACTGGACAGGAGACACCGCTGACCAAGCCGTGTGGATAATCAGCCTATCAAGGATTCAATTATATAATGAGCTTAATTTATTTTGCGCCGCTTTACGTACAGCCACAACAACAACAACAACGAACGAAGAGGAGGAGCAGGAGGAGAGGGGAGAGCACAGTTCCATGGATCCGAGATCCCACCATGCTCCATCGTGTGCTCATCATGGCAACTGAATTATGCATCTTGTTGTTGCTGGTGGTAGAGTGCCGTTGTCCCTGACTGTGGATATGGCTGTTGGCAGTGGGCTGTGGCTGCCTCTCCGGCTGTCGCCGGCAGTTGCTGTTCATGTTGATGTGGAAGGATGTGCCGTGGCGACGTCTTTTGCTTTTTTATAAATGATTTATTTACCCATAATTGTCGCCTGGTGTGGAGCTGCTCGCATTCACCTCTGGCTGGCTCAATGGCTGGCTTTTTGAACCCTTTAACCGATTAAGGCCCAGTAGAACGGGCATTATTTATGGGTTTATTTTTGTGTGTGTGAATTTTAATGCAAAATCTCCCCTCACAAGATATTCGCTATGCTAGTAAATTATTTTAAAGTACTTCATTAAGGAGACACTTCAAAACAGTTGCCAGAAATTGAAATTCTCTTTAATTTGTACAAAGGAACAACAAGAAGGAACTGAGAAACAAAACGTTCCATAAACAATTTATTTTCTAGTGAAAACCAGAATAAATCAATTCTAAAAACTTGTTCATATTTTTATATACCTAAGTAAGAAATATAATTAATACTACGAAATTATTCTCAGTCTATGCTCTTCTTTAGTCTATGCATACTCTTTTCTTCTTTGCTTCTTCTTTGGTCTCTGTTACTTTGTTTTCCAGAGGCAAATATCTACCCAGAAAAATGACTGAACTTGCACTTGGCACACACCATGGAAACTCGCTTAGGGTAAACAGCAAAACGATAAATAAGAGCCTGATAATTGTTTATTTAAGCCCAAAATATTTTACTAAATAGGAATAGAAAATTTCCCACTTTATATAATATTAAAATACTCCTTTCTTGTGTAGATTTTGTCACGTAAAAATCAAATTAATAAATCAACATATTTCGCTGTTATATAGAAAGTTTTTAATTTAGATGCAAAAACAATTTCTTACTAACAATTAGTTAGTCAGACTTTCTCTTGAAAACTTTACCTTTCGCGTCCTGGCAATGAGAGAAATACATTAATAATTCCATCAGGACATTGCCGATAACTGATAAAAAGAGAAAAGCCGAAGCTTAATTTATGTGGAACGAACTTCACTGCCATAAGCCCAACCATGGAGTCGGAGTCGTGAGAGTCCTCCTATTCCACGGCTATAATCCACAGACAGAGGCAGCCATAGCGTGCCCGGCCCGACTCTCAGATGCGTTTACGCTGATACAAGTTTTGTGGGAAAATTTGATTTATTTGGCCAAACGAGGCCTGAAGTTGCTGCGATTTTTATCAGTCGCTCGATGGTGTGGCGGTGTGTCGGAACAAAAGGTGCCAAAAATTCAAAGCAAACCCCAAACGACAATTACACAATTGTGAAATGCGTTGCAGTGGCAGTGGCTGGCTGTGCGCTGTGTTTCTGTTTAATTTTCCCCCCCGATTCCCATCCCAGCTGCTGACTCAATTTCGCGCACACTCCAACCACCAAACCGAACGAAAGGCAATTACTTTAATTATGCGACTGCACAAAACCAAAACCAAAGCCAAAGCCAAACCAAACCAACACAGCAATAGAAATAGAAACAGAAAGAGCAAAAGCAAGAAAACCCAATCACATTGGCGACGACAGGCCACCAAACCGAACGAATGAACGAACCGAACCCACCAGCAGCCGAAGCGGCGCAAAAAAACCAAACGAAATCATCAGATTTGATGGAGAAACCCCAACCCGTGGAAGGATGCGGGACGGCGGCCGCAGTGCAGAGAGTGGCGGCGCACCAACGTCCGTCCAGGTTACCTAACCCAAGCCCCAAACGGGCCGAGCCGGGCCGGGCCGGGCCTGACGTGACAAAGGGGTGTGCCCCCAAAGCCAGGCCATGACAACAACGCACTCCCCATCCGTTTTCCCAAAAAGAAATATACTTTTTTTTTTTTTGTATATTTTTTTCTCTCACGCACAAAATTTTTTTTGACATTAGGCCGCAAACAAATACGTGGCTAATGGACGCGGCTATATGGCCAATCTATAGATACAGATACAGATACAAAGATACCCGAGTGTAGGTATGTGTATGGAGGTATCGTATCAGTGCCAAGTTTTTACAATTTGTCGCCGCAATTGCTGGTTGGCCTCTCTCGCGACTCGATTCGACTCCACTCCACTCAACTCGACTCTAATTACAATTTGATTGTTTTTCTTTTTCGCAGTAATTATTTCAATTGTAATAAATTTTGTTGCTATTTTTGCGAAATTTAATGTTGCAATTTGTCAGCCGTCCCTGTCCCCCCTCCCATCACTGTACGTGTGTGTTATAATTCGCTAATAATTTAATTTTTTAATTTTATGCTTTCTGCATTCGATTGCTCTCTATGTGGGAGTGGGAGGGAGCCTGGCAGTTAGTAGACGTAGTAGATGGGTGCCAGGAGGCGGGACTCTGCCTAATTGGTTTCTGCTCTCTGAGGCGTGTGCTGGCCATTCGGGACAAATAATTAGCTGGTCTGTGTGGCTGGGCTCCAAACCGAACGGAATACTTACTTATTTGTAAATTGGATTATTTTCTGTGGTGCCGGATTTATGGGCATTTTTATTTTGTATTATTTATTATTTGGACATATTTACATATGCGTGTGGATTGCATCATAATTCATATCGATTACCATTCATTTAAAGATCGCTTGGAACGAGTTCTTCTATGACTGCAACTACGAATGTAAAACTGGAATAAAACTTCCTAATGTGTTGAAAACGAATAATCAAATAATTGTGCAGAATACTTCAAACTGGCTTCAAGTTTCGTCGCTCTATCGGACATTCCAATATTTTTTTCTCACTTCCAAAAACCATAAAGAAAATCGTTATTTTCTGGTCCCCAGATTGCATTGGCAATCGTAAATTTATCTTAGTTAGAGTTAAGGCTATAAAATATTTATGAACAGATTTTAACGATTTTTATAATTACGAGACGACGAGTTCTTTAACGACTGATCAGACTTTTATGTGCTCATAGATTACATTTCGAGTTAGAAGACTTTTGGCAGGCCTTTTTGTTAAGCGACAAAGACAAGAATTTAGCAAAGGAGTCGCAGCAGAAGTTCTGCTGTTATTACAAATATTTCCAAATCCAAATCTCGTTTTGGTGTCGGCGTTTTCGTAAATTATACAGATTATGATTATACTATTACTTATTTTGTTACCAATACAGAGTGAAAACAATTAAATAAAAACTTAAATTGATTTCGAATCTTTTTAAAGTTTTCGATTACAATCGCAGCTAGTTCGTTAGATCGATTGCTTAGTCATCAACTATAGCTGCTTTGAACAGCTGCATTGAAATCGCCTTCCCTTGCTCGAGTTCTGCTCCCCCCACACCGACACCACCGCACCACAATCGACATCAGATGAAAGGCCCATGTACGAGGCAACAATAACCGATCGGGCAGGCAGGCAGGCATACTATGCCATAATTCAACACTGCAATTACACAACCTAAAACGCTGCCGAACCGAGAACTGAGTAGTTCACAGACAGCGCAGCGCCGGAACAAGGTTAAGGTCAATTGCAACAGGCAACAAGTCAACAGGCAACGACGACAACTGCCAACCAATGTGAATAAATTGCGCGTGAAACGTATTGTAGAATACAATTTAAGAACTAGTTTTCAAGTCCGCTTCCAGCTGCAGCTACAGCGACAGCTACAGCAGCCGCGGCAGAGCATGCAAAATGTAAATTAAAGAGGTTCGCTCAAAAAATAAACATGTACATATAAACAGATTTCCAAGGCAATGCTAAATAAATTTGTGTGGGGGCTGCTCTCTGAAGGAAGCGGACGAACTGAGTTAAGCGGAGCGAAGCGAGGCAGATCAGAGCCGCAAATGAATCAAGTTTATGTACAACAACAAATCAACCTAATGAGCCCCAAAACGGAGTTATGCAAAATCGGAAAAGCAAAACCAGAATGCACAAAAATAAAAATACTAATAAATAGTTAAAGTGGCTGCGCCGAATCTTCTATACTCTTTTCTACAATATTTTTTTATTTAACCAATAAAATACAGGAACAGGAATGCATTCTGTGCTTTTACTTAAGAAATTCGACAAATTAATTGAAGTAATATTTGTTAAGAAAATATGCTAGATCAGATAGGTTTTTGTGTCTACAAATTGGACATTTACTTTCAACATTCGGTCCAGCACCGAGGCCCACCAGGCTTGTGGGTAGCAAGCACGTGCCTTACAGAATCGAATTAATGTTTTTGCCTGGAATAACTTGCTTGTTTCCGACTATAGCCAAAAACCCCTCTCTGAAAGGGTACAATAAAAAAACAGAAAATAGTATTAAGCAATTACCACAGCAGAGAGATCTTTAGTCAGAGACAAATCTTTTCCCACTGCCAAAGAAGCGCGCAAGGTCAGCCAGCAGGCAAAATGCGGCAACCGCACGAAACTTGTCATCAGAAGCAGCAGCGGCAGCAGCAGCAGCAGCAACACAAGCAAACGGCGGCAACTGCAACAGAATGAGAGAACATTTGTTGCACAATTGCTTGCAACGCCAGCAGCAAAAGCCAAAAGCGGGTCAGACACTCTTGAGGTTAAAGTTAACTTGGCTTGGGCTACCGTCGCTACCGTCTCGAGAACTGGGTTAGGAGTGGCTGAATTCGTATTCGTTTCTTGACATTAGCGCCCAAATGTTGGCATCGTAGTAAGCTGGCCCCAGCCCCCGGCGAAACCTTGAACTTTAGAGAACTTTTGGGGCTTGGTCAATCCGATATCTGATGTCTGATGGCTAATCTGATGTTTCATTTGCTTGCAGATTGCCGCGAAACGGTGCGATCGAAGCGAGCTAAACGCCCACGGGCCCCAGAACCGGTCAACTTTGAGCCGGAGCCACAGCAAGATCTGGAGAACGATGAGAGCGGCAGCCAGGAGAAGGATCTGCCCGAGATACCCGAAAACTTTCTGAGTCCATCGGTGCGCGAGTATCTGGAGCTGGGAAAATCCATTCCGGGTAAGTTTTTGTTTGTAATTTTTAGAGACTACCTTCAGTGGTGTATCAGAAGCCGGAAACATATCCATCCAAGTATGGTTCAGACTTTTAGATGACTTTTCACTTCCCAAAATGTGACTTTGATTGTTTAGAGTCTAGTCAAACACCTGTGACGAATAGCAGCATCCATGTCCAGTCCGTTTTTATAGCTTTTACTCACTCATTATATATATAAATGCCAGTGCGAGAGATCGCCTGCATTCCTGCATATAAACTATGGAATGGAGACCCACCCTCGTTGCATTTGTTGATGCCAATGACAAGTCAATCAATATGCACGCCCACCCCCGTCTGGTCATTAAGGATGCCACAGCCACGACCACCAATGGCGAGGGTATGGTGGGGGTTCAGCCTAACCCAGCAGTGCCAGCAGCCACCTCTGGACTCGGTCTCAACTGTGGGGGGATCCGGATCCGGCCACTGCCAAAATATATTTTTTGTTCAGCTTTTTTCGTTCGGGTTGGAGCTGAAGATGAGGGCGAAATGCATTTCGGGCGCCATCAGCATCAGGCTCGAAAAAGCGGAGTGCGAGCGAGATTTTAAATTATTTTTCGCCCGAACGGAATGAATATTTGGCACAGAAGTGCATCTACTCGTAAATTCATTTATTAGTGCCAGAGACCCCCACCCCCCACCCGACCCGAGTGCCGGGGATTTGTTTATGCGCGTTTTATTTTTTTGGGCCTCTGTTTTTTCGGGTTTTGGACCAGGACTGGAACTGGAACCTGCATTTGACACATTCTGGGAGGGAGGAGCCTGTCCGGCGTTGGGGGGTGCACACACACATTTTTTTTCTGGCGGTTTTCTTGCCAGTAAGGTTGGATGAAGTGAAATTGATTGGAAACCGAATGCGTGACATGCAGTTTGGTTTTGGTTTTGTTTGTTTGTTTGTTGGAACGAGAGACTCACTAATTGCAATAACAAAATCATTCACAGGTCGTCCCGGGGTCGACTATCCCATCCTGTCGGCGGTGCCCTACACGAACTTCTACTGCGACGAGCAGGAGTATCCCGGATTCTTTGCCGACATGGAGACCCGCTGCCAGGGTGAGTATTTTCATCCATTCCACCATACCAATATTCTTCGAAGCATAGATTGAGAGATCTGTTCTGTTCCAGGCTGGCACTACTGCGACATTGATGGACGCCAGGCCTCCTTCCTCTGCCCCAATGGCACTCAGTTCTCGCAGGCCGTCTTCGTCTGCGACTGGTGGTTCAACGTGCGCTGCGATCTCTCGCCCCGGCTGTACGCCATTAATGCCCGGCTCTATCAGCGCCCCAAGGTGAACCCCACGCGGCCGCATCGCATCATCACCAAGCAGCTGGTCGAAGATATATTCACCTAGGCACCAACCACCCACCCACCCAGCAGCATTCCTTTCCATAGACTTAGTTTGCCGATGCCTATTAGATTATAGAGTAGGTCTCCATTTAGTTAATGCCTTAGGCTAAGTTTGAGTTTAATGTTTTGTATCTTTTGCATGAATTTAGGCTCATATATATTTAAGATCTGATTAGATATAGTTTTTGCGCTTTTGTACAGAATCCACTCTCATTTAAGACTCTACAAGTCAACGAATTAATTCTTTATTTTGACATCTCATATCCACAAATTAAAGAGTTTTCATTCCATTAGGAATTCCTAAGCAGCGCATCTTTGACAATCGTATGAAATATATAGCTTTCTCCATCTGTTCATCAGCTTTTTCCCCCAAATGGTTCTATAAATCTCTTTACGTGTAGCATCTGTATATTTTAGTTTAACGTTTGCAGGCATTCCTAAGCTAAGTTGCATTTTCTAGCTGAAGTTTCCTTTGTTAAATATTACCACTAGGATTGTACATATTTTAAGATTCCTAAAAACCAATTTAAATAAAGATTATTGCTAAGAAAACAAAACATAAGTGGGAAAGTTCTCATTTAAGTGGAGACAAATCCGCAGAGATCTAAGATATGGAGCCCAGGGACAAACCCAAAGACGATAGCAAAGCAGTCAAAACTGGAACAGAAACAGATTTCGAGAGTCCAATACAAAATGGATTAAGCTTAGCTACTATCCAATGCCAATCAAATAAAAACTCCCTCTACAGTGAGAAGTCAGCTGCGTGAGGGAGGAATCATCAATGAATATTCGAAGGCAATGAATTTACTTCAATTTACTTTTAAGTAATTATTTTACTGCAAGCAGTAACCTGAATTATGTCCCATCGAGCATTTTGTTGAATTTTTTAGGGAAAAAAAAAAGGAAACGCCAAATTTCATCCAAGGAGTCGTTGAATATTGCCAGAGTTAAACTATTGCACTATTTGTATTGTTAAACTTAACTGAGGGGGGTCAAGTTTTAGAGGTTACAACTAAAAAATGGTAAGGGTTTACGGCCTGCTGTAGGTCCTAACAGCCACTTGCGTCCTAGCTTACATTTCTCATACTAAAAGTTCATTACGACAATAAAAACTATTCCATAGTTTGCACGAATGTACTGGGACCTGCTGTTGCTGCTGTTGCTTTGCCAACTATGCAGCTTTTTCTCACAGCACACGCTCAGGCGCACAGTAGAAACAGCAGGCAAGAAAAGAGACTGTTGCATACTTTCTGTTGTCTGGCCGCAATGCATGTGGCAGCCAAAAATGGGCCAAAAGAGCTAGAGCCAAACAGTTGGCCAAAACAACTGCAGGAGGCAGCTGTCGGCGGCGTAGCCCAAGAGCATGCACTGTCACGTCGGCCGATATGAGGCTCAATGGTCTAGGGGTATGATTCTCGCTTTGGGTGCGAGAGGTCCCGGGTTCAAATCCCGGTTGAGCCCAGTCAACTTTTTGCGCAAAAACATTTTTATGGTCTGGCCAGGCCACGCCAGCCTACCGGTTGTGGTGGGTTAATTAAACAGACAAAATAAGCAAAAGACATAGACAAAGGCGAAGCGAAATGGACGATTGGAAAATGCAGATAGGCGAGACATTTTGGCCAAACAAATGAACGAACGCGAACGCTGTGGCGATGGCATCGGGTTGATTGGATGGGTTGGCAACGGGCGACTGGGGGGACTCAGAAGATAATGAAAGGCGGCCTGACGTGGATGGCTTATGGCTAATACGGCTACAGCTACAGTCCCAGCCACAGTCAACTCAGGAGGCAGCCTGCATGCAACTTGTTTGCTGCATTTACGATTGACTTGGCCGATAAGTCTTTGTGTGTTTTATGGTCGACAATTGGAAAATTGAACAATGAGTGTTGCTCCGGGACCAGGCCAGGCCAAGCCTCTGCCAGTGCCCATGGTGGAATGCCCCCAAACCAAGTGGCAGCATGCACACAAAGTGTGAAAGATTTAAAGTTGCAGCCAAAAGAGACCTGATTATGATGTAACTCCACACACAAACGGTTTATCTTCTTTTATGTGGGGGACGACGACATTTGTTGACAAAGCTACCCCCAACCCCACCACGCTTCCCATCAGCATCATAAATATGTAATTCGGCGAAAGAATAGAGTTATCATATTTGTAAAAGCCGCACTGCCTTACGTGGCTCTCTCGCATCGCATTACCGCATCTAAATCCAACCGATGCAGCTCCCAAATAAAAAACTACTTTCACTCGGGACCGGGGCATCTCGACATCAAAATCATTCCAGAAATATGCAAGTTTGTCGGACAAAGTGTGGAGACTGTCGGCCTTCGCATCGGGACGAGTTGAACGGATCAACAGGCAGTGCCAGCAGCCAGAGCAGCTGCTGCAACAAGTGCTGGTACGGTCCGGGCCAGGGCAGTCAACCTGCAACCTGCTCAATCAAAAGTCTCTTATTCAGCCAGCTAGGCAGCCCAAATTTAGTGGCCTGAGTATTCGGCTGACTCAGTTAAGACCCGAACCAGGCCAGCCAGCAGCTGGCTTTTGGCGATGTGTGTAGTGCACTAGAAATCATACTCGTACGATAGTTTGCACAGTACTTTTCCTGTACCTAACATTCTATCAAGTATAATTATATTAAGGACTTTCAAAGCTTACGCATGTGTTATGTACAGGGTTAGATATACCCAATTCCCTCTTAGAAACGGATTACATACAGTACAAATAATGCTCACAAAGCAGGTTATCATTGTCGGAAATAGGACTTGAGCAGACTGAGCGTGATCGAATTTCCAACAATTTAATAAATGATAAAGCTAACGATTAAAATTACGAGTATTATGTGCAGCAATTTCGTTAGAGTGTCATGCCTGCATGTATCCGAAAGTAAAAAGAGCAGAAAGATCGCAAGTATTTCCAGACATTTTTTCGGTTTGGACACGACGGTTTGCCATCGCTAATCAGCATTCTGACATGCCTCGCCAGAAGTTGAATGTTTGTTATACAGTTATGAAGCAGGAAAGATAATGACAAACAGCAGTGAAATAAATTGAAATTCTTTTCGTGCTAAAGCGACAGCCCCCTGGCAGCCAGCGGTGGCTTATGTGTAATATTTCGTTGTCGTCGTTAATGTTTCTTGTAGAGGTGGGCATGGATCACGGGCGTGCGTGTTCGTTCAGAGCAAAATCGGCACGAAAAATCACAAGAAACGGAAGATCAGATTTTCCGTCCTACCTCCTAACTCGTCCTAACGTATGTTTATTTATGGAAAGTAAAAAAAAACACAAAAAAAATATTGCATCTGTTTCCGCCCGGGATCGAACCGGGGGCCTTCTGCGTGTTAGGCGCTAACACCACGGAAACAGTTGAAACTACTACCGCCCAAACGTCAAGTTCAGGGGCTCGGCTCGGTCACCCAAGCTGGCGAGGAGCCAAGGAAACTGGTTCAAAGTCTATTTAAAGTTTAAAATATTTAAATATATGTATGTATGGTACATTCAGTGATTGGGCATTGTTTGGCCATTGTTGAGGGGCGGTGATACAATATATTTTAGTGTGTAGGAAGGGGTGTACTATCTGCTCAGAGAGTGATTGATCCAATAAACGCTACACCCTACATAAAATAATTTAAAAAAATATAAAAATTTTTATATTTTGTATTGGACCGTGCTTGGAAAATGTTTAGCCTGCTTGCCCAGTGGTTGGGTCGTGTTCAAAAATTGCTGTCCATGCACATTTCTAGTTTCGTGTGCTTTGTGGCAGCCTGGGCATGAAACGAAATCAATCCGACTGCACTCGAACAAATCACGAGCAGCTGCTGCTGCTGCAAGAAGCCCCAACCAGATCGCGGCCTATCGACTAATGGCCCGGCAACAAGATGCAGTTTGGGGTTAGGCAGAGGCGGAGGCAGAGTCAGGTGTGGTTCAGCGGTTCCATAACTGTTAATGACTTTCGGTGGCGGCCACAGTGTTGCAGCAGTGGAGAAACACATTTAATGAGTGCCACAACAGCACAGCAGGCAACCAGCTGAGCAGCAGAGCCGTCTGATCAATTGCCTGTTTTTTGGCCAAGTGAATGTCATTGGCCATTGAAAGTGAATGCTCGATGCTCTCTGGTGAAAGGATTCGAGTGCTGTGCTGTTGGGGAATCGGGGGGATACCCAACGCCTAATGAGACGGCCATTCTCGGACCCACTCATCTGCCACTGCAACACAAGCAATAACTCCCACAATTGTGATTGCGATTGTGCAACCGAAACAGAAAGCAGACAGCAGCTAATTTGCCTATCAATGCTGTTTTTTTTTTTTTTTCAATTTACGAGATGGATTGCGGCATCCCCCAAGCACAGCACAGCACAGCACAGCTCTGCTTTGCTCTGATCTCGTCTAGTCTAGTCTTGCAATGAAATATGAGAACCAGCAGCCAGCCACTCCGCGAGTCACGCAATTCAAGTGTAAAATTACATTTTCTTCATTCATAAAATGCAACATGCAGCCAGCCGCTGCCGCTGCTGCTGCTGGCTAAGGAAAGCGTGAGCATTTCCCTCTCGTAATGAGGCAACCACAGTGCTGTTGCTGTTGCGGGTGCGGAATGTTGTACATACATTGTTAGTGGGGTGGAGGATTCGATTCATAGATGTAATACCAGCGGGCGTGAAATGTCGGTTATTTGGTCAGTAGTTGATTGAAGCACGAACACACAACAATCAGCGAAGCAAGTAACCAACAACCAACTAACAACAAACCCCTTTTGGCATACATACCTTCATTGTATAATTAACAAGTTATGTAAATGGATGTGAGATTAAAAATAGAATTCATAAATTTGTTCACATTAAGGTATTAAGATATTCAATTTGATTCAAAGGCTATAATTAAAGCAGTTGAACGTAGGACCCATCGTTAAATGAAAATAAAACTTTACATTGAGATAGGAAAAGAGGAATAAAAGCTAGTCAGCTATTCAAATAGTGTAAAGGAGCACTAGCTCTACATAAATATTTTTATTTTTTATTTAATTTAACCACTCGTAAATCCATGTACTATTCCCCATGTAAATCCCCTATGCCAACGGTTAAAACCCGTGTGAATAACATCTTCCATTTACACATTTTAACAATCCTTTCAAAGCTTAGGGATAACAATTAAAGTGTAATTAATTCCTTCCTGAAAGCTTTGATGAATATTCCCAAAACAAATAAAAGTCCCCGTTCCTCAAGTGGCCCAAAATCTTCAAGTCTGTGATAAGTATAAGTTCATTTATTTCTGATATTTATGCGTATAATATATTCCCAACTGCAGATGGCAACCAGTAAGGCAATTAGATAATAGATTCCAGCAAATCATGCTCCCAGAAGAGACAATGAATATTACTCTTAGAGGCAGTTGCCACCGTCCGGAAGTGGATGCAAATCAATGCAACATACACTTGCATCAAGTGTCTGTCTGTGTGGGTGTGTGTGTAAATCCGAATTTCATTCTATAACAAATACAAGTGATAGATATATGTACATATGTATGTATGTGCCTAACAAACCATTACACGCATTGTCAAATTAAGTGTAAATAACTCGTTTGAATAAACAAATAAATCCTGACACGCAACACAGAAAAACTGAGTCCGTCACTTGGTAGGTAGGAGAGAGAGAGAGAGTCGAGTGGAGCTGAGAGTCGAGAGCCGAGAGTCGAGAGCCGAGTGGAGTGGAGTGGAGGCCCCACTAAAATAGGGTAAGAGTGCAAAGTGCATTTGCATAATGACAATGCAATTTGGAATAAACGCAGGACACATGTCAACGAATAAATTAATTTACTCTAAAGTTATTTATGCAGCAAACAAAGTGCCAAACCAAAAACCGATCCGAGAGCAACACGCACGCACACACACACACACACGCACATACACACAATGGCAGACAATGGCACTGAGAGTCGTCCAGACTGGGACAGATTGGTTGTTGTTGTTGCCAAATGAGAGTTTTAGTGGACCAAAGGAGCGAGAGCAGGAGGAGAAGATGGGCGCAGAGCGTGATGCCTGGAATGGCCCGTTTGGCATGTGCCTAATGAAGGAAGTATCTGTTGGTATCCTGCTGTTGGCTGAACACACAAACACATCAGCTGCACCTGCACCGTGCTGCAGACGGACGCCCACATGGATGGGATTCCTCACCAGATAACAGCATCGTCATCTGCATTAATTGTATGGCTATGGCTATGGCGATGGCGATGGCTATATGGCTATGCTTACGGCCATTTCCATGATGGCTCTATGGCTCTATTTGCCTAAGCTGCCGAGACTGAACCAAAACTTAAATAGCCTCGTTTTCTTCTGCTGTTGGCCAACAAAACAAGGTGAATGGATCTCTCCCACCATCTCCTCGCCCGCTGGCAGCTTTTGCTTGCTGTCTGCTTCTGGTTGCTGGTCGGCAGGCCACTTTTCAATTATAAAAAACTCTCTCAAACGAATGGCAAACGCAGTGCGCAACACTCAAAGGCGTGCAATTTGAAATGCCAATTGATTTAGACCGGAATACAAAAAAAAAAAATAAACATTGTATGTACATTTCTGCTGGCAATCCCGGCGACTTGTTAGTTGCAGGCACTTCCAGAGAGATGCGGAGCTACAAAAAGTGCGGCAATTGCAACAGAAATAGAATAAAGAGAGAGAGATAGAGATGGGTAAAAACGAACCGAAGCTGGGAATACCCTAGTCGTTCAGTGTATTTGAATATTTATTTAGATGGCTCATTCTAGAGTTTAAAAGTTGTTATTTATTTGCATAGAAAATATAATAAATATATTGAAAGATATGTAATACATATATATCTATAAAAATAAATACATATTATGTGTATATTGGAAGAGCATGCAAAAGCGTGCGAGCAGTAGAGAGACACCTGAAGTGCCGAGAGGGAAAAAGAGGAATAGAAGTTCCAACTCCGCTGCGCGCTCGCTGCGTATTATTATTGTTGTTGCTGCTGAGAGAGCAAACTAAATAAAGATCAAGAGATAAGAAAATTGGGACGGCGCTGAGCAGAGCACAAACGAAATGCAAGCAGAGGTGCAGTCATAAATATAATGTTAAATTTGCGTGCCAAACAGAGTCCCAAATTTAAATGACCCGCCCATCAAGCGGAAACCAAAGTCAAAGAGCCATCCCTAACACTGCGGTCCCTTGTGCCCGTTCCTCCTCCTGCCCGTTGTGTCCGAGAGAAGAGTTCCATTCAATTGCGCTTTGTACGATTCATGGCGCGCGCGTGATTTTTTTCAGCTTATGTACGGTGGCTTTGGCTGGCACTATTTTTAACCAGCATCCATCCCGCCCCCCCATCGGCAACCAACCGCAGCACAGCAGCAGCCACAAACATTTTAGCCAGAAGCCGCAGCTACAATGTTGACAACGTCAACCCGTGTCCGTGTCGGTGTCCGTGTGTCCCCGTCCGGATCCCCTTGTCCGTGCCCGCCCGCGTCTGCGTCTATTTCCATGTCGCCAATGTTTGTCCACAATTCAAAATCATTTAAGCGCGCTTTCTGCTCTTTCAGTCGGAGCTTTTGTATGGCAACCTACCTCCTTTTTCTTCGTTGGCTACTTTTTCTTTCATTTTCATTTTTCGAGCTGAGAGTTCTCTTTTTTTTATGGCTTTCCTTTTTATGGATTATTTTCACGCCTCTGGCGCTTTGCATTTTGCCTTTTTGCTGGCCACATTTTCCATTGGCGGGTACAGAGGATATGAAGGCTGTGGGTAGGGGAGGATGGATGGAAACAAGTCCACAGGCAGAGTGGCATGGCATGGCCGGTCGGGCATATTTCTTTGGCCGGGCAATATAATTGAAAATCCCACAAAGGTGTCGTCGATGCTTTGTGACTAAATTGAATTTAGTAATCGCTTTTTTATCGACCATTTCAAACTAAACACACTGGCTCCTATGGACACAGGGCTTCGGGCACTTTCTAAACCATGTTTTGGCACGTGCTCCACTCCACCACCGGTCCGGTCCACTCTCTGGCAGGCAAGGCACTCCCTCCTCTCCCTGTACTCCCTATACATACACGCCATGATCCTTCTCTCCGCTGTGTAGGCTCCAACTACATGAAGTGCCGCAGGGTGCCGCCGCATTGCATTGACTACAATTCGACAGACAATGACCATACCATACCAGACGATTTGGGCACTTATAAGCCCATAGTAATAATATAAGAGATAATAAATTGCCAGCCAGACGACAACCGTCCAACCATTCCAGTTCTTTTTTCTCCCATATAATTCGACCTCAAGCACTTATCACGCGATTTAATGCTTGCACTGGCACTTTCATTCGCTTACCCCCGTGGGCTTCATTAATTATTTATGGGTGAACAGGGGAAATTATGTATAATTTTTCTATTTCATTCAATTCATTCAACAATTAAATTAAACTTGAAATCCGGCTCGCCTGCATTTTTTATTTTTTTGCTGAACTTGAAAAACTGGCAGATTATGTAAATGCTGGGGGAAATGAGCGACATCCATTAAAAATAAAAACGAAAGGAAATTTCAAATGTGCAATGCGAAAGGGGTGGGGCGGCCAGGTAATTGGGCCAGGCCAAATACAATGCGTGTCCCGTACAAAATTTCACCACATGATTTATAAATCCACTTTTAATTAAATTAAATCGAATTGTTTGAAAGTCGCACAATGAAGTTGGTGGGGGATTGCCTACATATGAAAATATAGCATGATGGGTCCCCATAAATTATGATAAAAATAGGTACGAAATTTGTGGTTTTTTAATGGCGAAATTGAGGTACCCTACATATTTTGAGATGTCTCGAAGATCTATAAGGGAACATTCCTCCCCCGAAAATAGCATAAAATATTAATTTTTCTAATATAATATCTTTCTCCTCAAACAAACTCTTGACAACTTCAAGTTACATCTTGAGTTAGGGTAGCGACAAGACAAACCCTCTCAGATCGCGTGGCTTGTCGAAATTGAATTGAAAATTTCGCAAATAATTATGTGTGATGAGCTGATCATATTTTGTGGTTAAATTCGTGGCAATAGAAAGTGCAAAGGTGAAACGATGAACGGTGAAAGGATAATGAAAAGATGGTTAATGAACTAAACACAGAACCCAGACCCATAGCAAATAGCCCCAAGGAAGGGCCTTCTGTCATGCAGAAGCAATCATGCGGCTGTAATAAGATGGTCACCCTGGTAGTTGTCGGTTAATGTCTTCATTACAAGCCACAAGACAATACGGCGCTGAATACGGTAGTTAAAGTTAAAGGCGAAGCAGAAACAAGGCAGAGCTGAGACCTGACCTAAGGCAACACACACACAGCCCCCCTGCCAGAGCACGCGACTGGCCACCAAAGAGAAGCCCCCAATGGCCCCCTAAACAGCTGTGAAGACACTTGGAGAGTGAGAGCGAATCGAGCCACAGCCAAAGCTCGCGAGAGCCAAGCAAGCAGTTTCAGTCTCAAGCAGTGCCGCGCTGTGGTGCAAGCAGTGCAAAACTTCAAATAAACAATAGCGCAGCCGCACGATCAGACTCAGTTTCAATTGGAACGTTGCGCGTGCGCCCTGAACAATAAATATCGCGCCGCTTTGCATCGGTTTTCGTCGTCTTTGGTTTCGATTTCGGTTCGTTTGTTGGCTGCCCCAAAAATGCAGTTACATGTCATTGAAATATTTAACATAAAATTATGAACTGTCAACCCCGTCGCCAGCTATTGGGCATTTCCCCAAAAATATTTTGATATGTGAAAGTTTGCATACAGAAAACGTTTATAATTCTTATAATAAACAAATTTGCATATTGTGTAAAAATCACTAACAAAAAAAAAGCAAAAAAAAAACCAAATAAATGTTAAATTTATGAGCAAAGATTTTATATAGAACAAATATTGTGACCTGTTCTGCTTAACATGCAAACAAAACAAATGACCCTTTCAAAAGTATCTAGATTTGTGCCCCAATTTGCTTGAACCACCAAAGAGAGACCAGACCGCGACCGCAAATACCATTTAGTGTAAATCTTTGAGGTGTTAATGGGGAAATGTTCCATAGAAATGCTAAGGCCAATAAGGAAACAACACAAAAACTTTGCCAAAGAAATCTATGTTAATAGAGGCTTTAGCTATCAACAGCTAGCAAGATTTCACCCAGTAAAGAAAACCTTTCGTTTATAGCTTTCCGGATTTGTTTGTCTCATCAAATTACACCACCAAGAGACATTCTTTTATTTTTCTGGTAGAGACAACGCCCTGGCATAGAACTTTTTATATTTGAAATATGCTAAACACAAATCGAATGATGCGCGAGCGAGGCAGATACATTTCTTTTTTGGTCAAGACAAAGTCAATAAATTAATTTAATTTTTATGGGCCGATGATAAATAATTTCAGTTGTTCAACAAATATGGTTCTTTAGGTTTGGAATCAAACAGGAATACGAGACAACAAAAGGAAAGTGTCAAACCAAAAAAATAATAATGTGGATTCCCAGCGGAAGATGGAGCTTTTGGCTTCTGCCTCTGGCATTTGGTAAGTGCATATCCACCCATTAGGTAACCCCCGTTTTATCCGCGTTAACCGCACCAAGTTAGTTAGAATCGAACGGAACCAGTTTCCAGTCCTGGTTTTTTTTTCCTGCTGTTTGTTGATTGGATGACTGAACGGGAGCAAGGTCGTCAGTTCTTACACCAACATCAACTAAAACTCCAACACTGGCACTCAAAAATGTCGTCGTTCTCTGCTTTGCCATCGAAATATTAGAAATAATGCAATCATCCAAGTGTGTATGTATGTTTGTGTGTATGTTCCTTCCTCCCCCTCTACCAATCTGCATCAGACTCGCGTAGGACTAGGACAAATGTCAGCCATTGCCCTGCCGGTAGTGGGAGGTCTCTGACAATCCACTTAGCCCTCGCCAGCAGCCGTTGAACGGCATTTGACAATATGAAAATGATGTTTAAATACCTTTGGATGCGATAACATCCGAAATCCCAAATACGTGCGCAAAGTTGCGTTTATTTTTGTGTATCGGAGGCGAAAGTATGCGCGAATCCGTCGCGGTTTGCAATGACGTCCTCCTCTCCCTCTCTCTATCGTCCTTCTCCTACTATCCCTGTGCTCACTATCTGCGTCAGTTGTGTGTCGGCTAAGCCGCACAGTGGGCATTGAATCATACAACTGGCCAGGATATACTATGGTGGGTTCCTGTGGCATTTTTCAGCCTGTTTGCTGCTGCTTTGAGCGTACATTAATGCCAATATCCCTTAGCTTCAGGTTTAGCTTTATCACGAATTCGTAAATTTGGTCATATTATGAACAAGGTATTATTATTTCAAGGGATTGACTGTCATTGAAAACTTGTATCAAAGAGGATTACTTTTGACATTGAAACCAATAAAAATTGAATCATTAAAAATCAACATATTACTGGCTTTACCATTCCCATATGAAAGAAAAAATACTTAGCTCTCTCCTTATGCTATTTAATGCCTGTACATTATTTGTCCACTGTTCGACGGGCGACGGAGCCTGATGGAATGGCTTAAAAATTATTATCATCAGCATCGCGTATTGACGGCATTCACAGTCGCGACGGTGCGACATGGCAAATAGCATTACAACGCGAAATGGATATCTAAACTGGACGCTGACCCGGCGATGGATGGTTGGTTGGATGGATTGTTTTTGTAGGTGGCGCACGACGAGTGGTGGTGTGGTGGAGTGGCGCCTGGCTGGAGGTAAACGTGCTCTAGTTCGAGTGCCAGGCATTTGCATTAGGGAAAATGCAATTTCCCATCGCTATTGGCAGGGAGCTGGAAATGGAAAAGAGGAATGCGCTGCATTCGTCTGGCACTGACTTCGTGGGAGATTTGGCAGATGAGTTTGGAATGCAGGCTTGGTGGCAGGCAATGTAAATGGAATATAGCGCTGGCAAGTGGGCAAAGTTCGCTGAAATATGCCAGCTGGCAGATCTACCGTACTTCCTCGGGCAATTATTTTATTAACTTCCAAAAAGAAAAGAAAAAATTACAACGACAATGCTGCTTACCTAATGCCCAAAACCAAAGCGAAACCAAAACCAATTACTGTCATCGCGGCAGTCATTCATTTAACACCCAAAAAACCCCAAACTCCAGCAACGTTGAAGTTCGGGTTAAGTTAAGACTAATTGCCACCATGGTATGGGGTATGGAAAAAGACTTCAGCATTTTACATAATATTTGCTGGGAGTTTTTGTCAACTTTCTGTGTTGGATTACGGCCAAAAGTGTGGCCAAACAGTTGCAGGCCAACAGGCAGGCAAATTTGAGGGTCCATAAATCTGCTTGGTAGCGAAACTTGGCTGCGGATGTACCGTAAATACGTGAATACATTACGAATAATCCCCGGGCAGCAGCACTCATTCGAAACAAGATTTTCCACTGGAAGTAGTAGCGAAAGAAAGAGAGAGAGAGAGAGAGAGATGGATGGAAAGAGGCGTGCTGTAGAGTAGGGGGAGGCGAAAGAAAAAGTAAAATGTTTGCCGAAAAAAAAAGAGAAGAAATAAAATCCAAAGTTAACCATACGTTATACGGTTATACGTTGGCGGACAACGGTTCCGTTGTGGCAGCCACTGTGTCTGGCTGGCTGGCTGCCCGGCTGCCTGGCTCTGGCTTGGCTCGTGTCAATGACTTTGAAATGATTCCAGCGCGAATTTCTCGTTTCCATTTCACATTTCACCGATCAGCAGCAGCAACAGCAGCAGCGGGTCAGCAGCAGTCCCGTACGTGGACTCTATTAGCGTTGGGATAATTGACATAATAAGATGTTCAAATGGACAGATAGATAGAAAGCAGCCAGTGCGGCGGGGCATGGATCTACTTGTGCGCGTAAAAGCCACAACATTTGAGCCACTTTCGAGCCCGATTTGGCCATTACTTTGACTTGTACTTGGTGTACTGGGGTCCGGCACGGCCCGGCCCGGACATGACACGTACTTTTCGTTCCCTAAATGCATTTTAACCCAATTATTTTTGGAGCGCCTTGACCAAAAACAGGATTTGCAACAATTCGCGCTTGCCACACCACACCATACCACACCACCATAACACAGATGTTGCAATCAGTGTGTGGGCCCCACTAAACGAGTTGCACAACATTTACGCAGTCGATTGGACTCTCTGACTGCGACGCCTCAAGTTCAATGTTGCCTTGCCTGACTTTTCCACAGACGCACTTCGTTTCCTGATGTTTGCCAGCTAGCTGCTCGCTGCGCGGAGTAATCCGATTTAATTAAAGACAAATTTTGCATTTGCAATATGTATGTAAAAATGGCATCCAGTCCGCTGCTGTCCCCCCTGCGGGCATTTATGCAATTACACGATGTCCCGGCGAGAGTCCAGTCCAGTCCGGTTGCAAAACACTTTCCTCAGGGTCCCCCCACCACCCACCCGTTCAAGCTGCAGTCCCCCGGTTTCAGTTCCAGAGCACAGTTTTTGCTTTCGTTTGAATTACCTTGGGTATTTTTTTTATTCATTTTCATTTGCATTTCTCGACGAGTTTTCTCTCTCTCTATCTCACTCTCTGCCATCCACTTTTCACCCAATGCATTTGATTGTTTAGTGGCCTTTGGCAAATTTACACAATCCTTAGCCAAAATACTCGTATAGTTATCAACTTGTCCGAAGACCGCGCCACCAGAGTCAAGTCAAGTGCCTCGCTGACTCTGGGAAGACTTTGACTCACAGGCAAACTCAAATTTATTCTATTTGGGAGCTGAAAACTGGCTCCAGCGCCTTGTTCAACGCCTTTAATAATGACATAATTGATATGCAGCTTTCCCAGCTAAAATTTGATCTTTTTTTGGTCAAAACCGGTGCCAAGAATCACCTTTTGAGTAATTAAATTAATGGAAAGGCAAAGCTTTGTCTCGCATTCGAAAGACGGTCGCCAGTGGCATATTCAAAACTCATTTGGTTTGCTCTCTAATTAACAAACAAAAGAAGCGCATGTCTTATACATAATTACAATCAGTACAAATTCAGCTGAAAATTACATAAGAAAAAACTGAAAAGAAACCAAAATATTGCACGGGGAAAATCCAGCGCTTGGCTGGTTCAACAGTCACAACAACAGTAATGCCAAAATATTTACATTTTTCATTATTTTTCACTCAGAAGGGCGTAACGAAAATTAGGGACAAACTCATTTGAGTAATGCAAAATACTTGAGTAATGACTGCCATAAACAATTTAATTCAATTGAATGGGAAGGGGGAGGGCTACCCAAAAGGCCTACAAGCTCGATGAAAATTTATTTCCTTTTAATGGATTGCTAAAAATGGAGTGACGTGAAAAAAAGTTAATTTGCTGTACAAAATTAATTCGATTGAAAGAACGCGAACGACAGACATTCGACTGAATATTGAATGAGTTTTTTGTATCGATAACTTGTTAGGTACAGCTGAATTAAACCTTTTTAAATACTCGTAATACATGTCAGAAATCTCACATTCTTGATTGCAAGTTTTTTTCGGCTTCGTACTAAAATCCAGTTTCAATAAAAAAAAAAAACAAATGTTTATAACATTTATTCGCTTTTGAGCGCACAAGAAACAGCTAAACAGCTACGCGAACAATGATAATGTTTGATTAAAGTTATAAACTAAATCGAAAGAGGAGGAGGAAGGCATGCTAAGCTACTATGGCTTTTGGCTCAATGAACATGTAATTATCACTAATCTATGTACTAAAGTTAAAGGCATGAGCTAGTCTTGGCGTTAATAATTAAAAACGTGTGATCGTAAAATAAAGTTGCTTGCATCGATAAAAACCATTTAAAATATGGCGGCCTGCATGCAACGTTGCATAAGGCTCCAATTAAAATTCATTAAATTTGAATGCAAAACTTTTTCGATATTGAATAAATAATATAATGAAAAGGAATATACAATTTAAGCATTTCTAAATGCAAAAGAGTAATGCACAAAAGAAAACCAGTTTAAATTCGAATAAATGAAATAGATTTCGTCACGAGAAATGCTGAATAAACTACACTGAATAAACTGCGAGCATAAACACAATAGAAATGGGTTCATTAATCCTGTTTACAATTCTTTAATAAATTTTTAAAAGCAAACCAAATATAGAAATAAAGTCGTTTCCTTCAGTTCTCGTATGAATATGAATTACTCATATGAAATTCGTTGAATGGGAATTGCAGTACTTTAGTTTTCGCACTGAAACTCCAGAGGTTTCAGTTACAATCGCTTCAATCTGAAGATTGTAATCTTGCCAACGTTTATGACCGAAAAAACACATAGGAAAAGCATACGCCCTCCCAGGGAGACGACTTCACAATTGCCAAACGAAAAATAAAAAAATAAAAACTGGGCTAAAAGCAAAAGCCACAAAACTGCATGAATGTGCAGATGCCTGGCGCTACTGGAGTACGAGTACGAGTGGGGGGTAGGTAGTGTACCTTGATAAAACCAGCAGGAAAATTACTAAAACAAAAACCAAAAACCCAAAAACAGCAACAGTTGCGGTTGTC